ACTAAATAAATGATTGTAATTAATAATTATACTTTTAGTTCAAACACAAGTTCAATTAACACATTGATATGATGGTGCACTTACTTGTTCATATTTTGCATCGCTTTGGTCACTCCTTTCATAGCTTGTGTCATCGTGTTCTGGGAACGTAGGGTTTGTATTTTTAATGACACTGCTTGAATATTTGCTTTCATCAACATAAACTTCTTTACATAACGCCTTGTTCTGACCAGATCTTTAGCCATAATTTTCACAGCGTCCTATAATCAATTTAAAAAAGATAAGTATAATATTATATAAATAGCAATTAAACAGAAGAATCTACATTGTAGATTACCATTTGTCCATCTTTTGCAAGTTTCTTTATATCCGCTATAATTTTCTTTTCTTGTTGTTCCATTCTCACTCTTTCTCTGTCTAAATCCCGCATCGCTTTGTTCAATGCCCTTTGATTCTTCCTGAGCATTTCCTCAGGAGTGATACGCTTACCGAATAACCACTCCATAGTGCTGACAAGCGATAATATATCAAATATAAATAGAATACAAATTTATATTAAACAAATTTTATATAATACACGTTATACAATACAGATATATAAGTACAATACATATTTCAAAAGACACACCTTGTTAAAATCGCAATTAATACTTGTTACAGTTGTAAATATTTTCTTAGATGATCACACTATGCTATTGCCATATCAATTCACATGCAAATTGTCCGCATGAGCACTCTCAAGACCTTTCCAGTACCTAACAATTAAAATATACACTTTATGAACTACAAATTTTACAGGCTAAACCGAAGAGAATACATGAGAATGTATTCTCTGCGTTAAATTTTGTACACGTTTCGTAGTCGTAGTTCTCTTAATGTGAAACAAACGTTTCTTGGGGATATATTTCTAGTATATCTATTGCCTGTTATTTAGGCGATGACGAGCAATGACGCACCGACACAAACATCAAAACCATGAAAACTGTGACTTTACCAGATATCCTGTTGATACGTATCAAGAAATTTTCGCGTACCTCAGGCAGTACCAAGAATGACATCACGAGCGGAATCGGCGCTCTTTTGACAGTTCATACTTCGACTTCGACTTGGTATAACCAATAAACCACGAGCTAAGAAGTAACTGGATGTACTGGATTGGATCTACTTTGCTTGAGATTATTCTTCGCACAGCGCAGGGCCTATACTCTGTAACTGTTTTAGACTGCGTTCCGTTTCACACATGATGCGCATGCTGCTTTATTTATCCTTGTTATTCATCGTATATTAAACAAAGATAAATGATGCATCATGCGCACCATGCATGAATCGGAACGCAGCTCTACAAGTTTACTGACAATTGTCGGTATCGTTGCGCAGCTTTTCCACCATATAAAATATCTGCGCAATGACAACTGTAGATAGGTGTGTAAAGATAGTTACGAAATCGCGTCCCAAAGCGAAGAAATTAGAAAACGAACACGCCATATTATGTATGACTGTCAATCCGAGATTTAATATCATGACAAATGCGAAGTATTTAAAAATTCAAATTATGTAATATTAAAATAAAATTGCGTAATTGCGAATTTTATATAAATATAATGATTATAAATACGTTAATTGAATTTAAATTATATTCACGGAACAATGTTAGAAAGAGATGAAAAATATAAGAGAATACACACATACAAATCAACTTTGATATATTTATCTACAAATTCAAACTAATACGAAATAAATACGATTACTAATGCCAATCTGATTGTACATCTGATTGAGGTTATATTAAAGTCTACAATTCTTTTAAAAAAGGAGGGACAACAAACGATTTCAATTTCTTATATTGAAAAACGCAAAACACAAATATAAAACACAGATATAATATGTACATATTTGTATATAATATATAAAAGGATTATCCCATTTTAAAAAGCAAATCTAGATAACTTTAAAGTTTTATAAAAGAATTTTTATTTTCTTAAATAAAACCGTGATTTCTCTTATATATAATTCTTCTCTAATCATCTTTCTAAAGTTATTTAGATATGACTTGTAAAATAGGATACCTTGTATATTAGACAAACAGTAAATTTATTAGATATTGTAAATGTATAAAATTTGCATATATAACTTGCATCTTGTGAAAAAGCATGATATATATGTAGATAATTTATATACGTAAATAAATTGATATTCGGAGAAAAAAGAATCAGGTTCCATAAAATGTTCGCTACAACTGTTAGTTTTAATTGCTCTTTTCCTCTTTATTTTACAAGTATTTATTTTAATCCCACGTTTTCACCCGAAGCTCCGGTTCGAGAATCGACCAATTCGGTGAATGTTTTTCACTAGATAGCCAATTGAAGTCATCAATGCAGTTCCAATTGTTAATCTTTGGATCAAGGCCGGCTAAATTAAAGTGACTCGTCTGATCTTCGTAAGACCAGTTGTAAGGTGCTACATGTATCTTCGTACAATCCTCTATGATCGCCCTACTTGTGACATGTAAATAAATGGTACAGTCCGTCGATGAATGTAATCGCAGCTGCTGACATGCAAAAGCAAATACACAATCACTGCAGTCGTGCACGTAAACAGAGGATGTCACCGGTCCAACTAATATAGTGCATTGCTTCAGGTTCACCATATGCAGGGTGCTCGGCGTACCATATATCCTTACAGTACAGCGAACCAGATCAGAAAGTAGAATGTCATTCTTATTTACATTCTCGGCGTCCAACACTATACGTTCATTTACCTTGCCCAGAAGCATACAAGCACTATCTCCGTACTTGCTCGACAATTTATTGTTCTGCTTAGTCGAGCCATTCACAATGCTCTCAGATATCTTGAGATCTTTCAAGCCGTCTGTGATGTCGAGCCCCTTATCGGAAGGCTTTTTCACGATTCTACGATTCTTAAAGCCAAACTTCTTTTTAGGCAAAAGCTTCATCTCCAACTCGGAAGCTTGATTCTCTAACGATTGCAAATTTTCTTGTGCGCGTCTTATGTCGTAAACCTTTAGAAACATTTTAGATTGTGATAAATAGTTCTTAAGCAATTGAATCTCCTTGTTTGACTTCTCGAAGATTCCCGGCAATGCTGAGGATGGCGTGCTGGATGCATCGTCTAGCATATCCTTGATCTTTTTGCAAGAGGAGTAAAATGTATCTTTAAAGTAACTGCTTTGCTCGGATTCCACGGCGAGCGATTGACGTTCTTCTCTTCGCCTTTCGATAACATTTTTTCGCTCTCGATCCCTCTTTGTGATACGATCTGGCAAACTTTCCTCTATAAATTCTGTGGGGTCCATTTTAGTTAATGCTATTTCTCAGTATGGATTACACTGTTTTGAATTTCAAATGTCTTCAACGTGTTTGACTTTTCTTGGTTCATCAATCTCTCACTTTTTTCCTTATATTGTGGAACAAAAAAGTTATGTTTTTCTGATGAATACGGAGGAAAATGCTGAAACAATTTAAACACAAAAAAGATTTATCATTTTCATCATTTTTTTTAGATTCCTAAGTAAAACTTGTAACTTTTGTATAAAACTTTGTAAAATTACTTTTTAATAA